ATAGGAAAGAAGAGAGGATATATATTTGTAGTTGAATTTTGCATGAATTATAAAAGACTCTGGAAGGATTAAAATAAATCAATGGTAGTTACCTGTTGAGGGGAACAAGAACTAGGTGAACAGAGCATAGGATGAGGAGTAAGTAATAAGTCTGAACACTATTTAAGTGATGTGAGGCAGTAGAGCCTTTTATTTAAAGCTTTCCAGGAGATTATAATGTAAGCCAGGAATGAGAACTATTGTCTTAGAATTTAAAGGAAGTCAAGTCAGTGAATCAAAAGAGATGAAATAAAGAATTAGTGAAAATTACTATAAAAAGCAATATTTTAAATATTATTATTTTGATCTGAAATTCTTACTTTTAAAAATATACAACTGACACATTAAGTAAAATACCCTGTTTATTTGGAATAAACTTTTCTAGATTATATATACATGTTGCTTTAAATTATTCAACATAAATGCTTGCTATGACAGCGCTTACTTTTATAATACAGTTTGACAAAGAGATCTTCCAAATCTTAGTGTTTAACCTGTGGATTTGATAATTCAATCATTCAAACAGTCAAAATAAGAAAGAAAATACTTTGCTGTATCTTAAAATGACTTTCCCCTCGTAATGACTCTCTCTTTGAGGGCTATGAATAGGATGGGTTTCCTAACAACTGAAATTTATTCATTTCCCAAGATGTAATACCATCTAAAATGTAGTACTAAAAGAAAGGAATATAAGACCAACTAAAACATAAAATCTTATTCTCCTTTCATCTTTTCCTCCTCTTCAGAGTACTGTTAATTGTGCTAAATAATAGGTGAATAAACAGGACGTCTTCAAGCTATGCTTAATGTGTGTTTCCTCCAGCATTCTCTACTACTACATAACAGTGAAAACTATACTTTTGATATCTGTGCAGAACTGGTAAATCCCCATATTCCAAGTAATCAAGCTAAATATTCCCAGAGCATCAAGCCACTGATATAATCTGCCTTTAACCAAATGCCATAAAGCACAATTACCACATTAACCTCTGCCCAAGGGCTCAACTGTTCAACACGCTACTAGTACTCATTTTAAAATACTGCATAAAAATATTGAAAATAATTTCTATTAATACAAAAAAAGGTAGTAATCTAAAGCTGTATAAAACCATTTATTAGGAAAGATTTTTTTTTTCTTTTTTTTTTCCTTTTTGTCTATTTTCGTGTCCAGCAACAGATCGCAACCCTCAGTGTCGCGCCCGTACCGGACCAGGACCGGCAACGGGATCGCAACCCTCGGCGCTGCGCCAGCACCTCGCTCAGCCAGTGAGCGGGAACCGGTCTGTATGTGGGATCCGAACCCTTGGCGGGAGTGCCGCCGCGCTCCCAAGCAGCGCACTGTAGCAGTGCACCACCGGGCCGGCCCTATTAGGAAAGTTTAAGGTCCTCTGAAATATTTTGTTTTCACACAGGAGTATTTTTTTAAATTCTCAAGCAGAATGACCAAGCTACTATAACCAGGAGGCATTTCAATAGGAAATGGAATTTGAAAGAATAGGCCCAGTCTTTAAAAAGCTTACACAGAAAATTCCCAAAGCTAGCCATAGGTACCATAGTTATCAGCTATGTCTCCTACATTTTTTTTAAACATGTCAGCATTACGGCATGTACTATCTGAGAAACTACCAAGTTTCCTTGGTGTTCATCATAGGTCTTGACCCACTTGCTATGAGAGTCAGAGAAAGACAAAAGGGATCAGAACTCAAATTGTTCTAAGGTGAGGAGTTCAGTATTCAAGTTTCTTGAAAGTCCTTTAAATAGCTATCTCTGGCAAATGGCAGCATGACTCACTCTTCTTCCTCTGGTTAGGCTACACACCCTGGACAGAAAATGGAAAGAGGATGTAGCACTCACTCCCATTGTATTATAGTGTTCAAAGTATTCATTATTTCCCTCTCCTGGAGCACATTCACACCTCTCCACCTATCCTGACAAGCAGACCATATCACATAAAATAACACTGCTAGAATTCTCTGGAATAGTTAATGTTGCTTTAAAAAAACTTCGTTTAAATATTTTTCAGACATCCCTTTTATTAATTACTCTCTCTCTGGTCACAGTAAAATCTTGGCAAAGGCGCATCCAACACTGGCCTAAGTAGAGGGGTAGACTTCCCTTCAAAATTCAAATCCCTACATTCTGAAATCAGAAAAATACTTAGAATTTTCATGGTAATAAACAGGTATGAATTTTTTCTTTTTTCTGTACTGTCCACATTTGCCAGAATAAGCATACTATTTTCATAAGTACATATACATACTAACATTTTTTAATGAGGGCTTCTCAGCTAATTTAATCTATTCATGTCAATACTGATGGAGTTTGGATGTGCTGTCCCCTCCAAAACTCATGTGGAAATTTGATCTCCAATGTGGCCTGTTGGAAACTGATTAAGTCATGGGGGTGGATCCCTCATAAATGGATTAATGCTCTCCCTGGGGGTGGGGGGATTAATGAGTGAGTTCTCACTCTATTAGTTCCCGCGATAGCTCATTGCTTAAAAAGACCCTGGCACCTCCTCTCTCTCTCTTGCTTCCTCTCTCGCCATGTGATCTGCTTCTACCCGTCGGCTGCCTGCCACTTTCCGCCATGAGTAGAAGCAGCCTGAGACCCACGCCTGTTGCAGCTGTCCCAGAATCGTAAGCCAAATAAACCTCTTTCCATTATAAATTACCCAGTCTCAGGTATTTCTGTTATAGCAACACAAAACGGACTAAAACAAGTACCATCTTTTCATATTCCTAAATGTTTTGCTTTACTTAGAATACCATTGAAATGCAGGCACCAATATATGCCTCCCGTCATCATCAATAGCAGAAAAGAAAACTTTTTTTATTTCATTAAGTTCCACAAATACTTAGAAGATCTACATGTTAAATACCCTAATATAAAAACATATAGATTGCCATATTCTGCAGAAAAATATAGCAAGTATATTGATTTTCAAATATGTGAGGGTTGACTTGCAGACCATAAATCCAAACAAGAAATTTAATATATATTCACTATTTTAAAATTCACTAATATTTCATCCTACACATATTTAACATACAGTGGTCTCCTCTGACACTCACAAATTTAATCACATCACCTATTCCTAAGAAATTATTAGGTAAAACTAACTTTGTACCACTTCGAAAAAAAGGCTATATCCCCAGGAAGAAATAAATTATAGAAAAGAGGTCAAAGAGTGAAGCTTGAGATTTTCTAAATTCTTGCTGAATTTAGAAATTCAACACAATTTACATTACAATTTAATTTAAATATTTTTTACAACACAATTTAAATATTTTTGTTGAAAACACATTTCTAGAATAGCTAACACATACACATATATATGCACAAACTTGGTAAGCATAAAGCAGATATGGAGATTTATGGATTATGTCCCATTTTAGTTACCCATATTTTTAATTCACCTTCCCTCTATCTACAATGACTCCATGACAGATGATTAAACTGTTTCCTTAAAAAAAAAAAAGTAACTTAAAAGTTACCTGCTTTAAATTAATGTGTTTCATTGTGAAATCAATTTCTTGATTCAGCTACAACAAAGAATAACTAAAACTTAAAAAGTTGCTATGAGGGCCGGCCCGGTGGCGCACTGGAGAGTGCGCCACTTGGGAGCGCGGCGGTGCTCCTGCTGAGGGTTTGGATCCCATGTGGAGACCGGTTCCCGCTCACTGGCTGAGCGCGGTGCGGGCGCAACACCGAGGGTTGCGATCCCGTTGCTGGTCCCCGGTGCGAGCGCGACACCAAGGGTTTCAATCCCGTTGCCGGTCAGTAAAAAAGACAAAAAGGAAAAAAAAAAATTTGCTATGAGTTTTCTTTTAGCCTCATACAAGTGGTCAGCAACCAGGAAATACTAACGGGCACAAAAAAGGCCCCAAGAAAAGCTATCCCTCTCTAGCCAAAGGACCATGAAAGGGGCAACCCAGCAAAACAGAAAACATTTAGACACTAAACACCCTACACCAGGCAAATACCATAGAAAAAAAACATGGCTGCACCTCTGAGACTTCTAATCAATAGTAAACAATAAGTCAAGTAAACTAAAAGTACACTTCAAAAAGTCATGGAAAAATAGAATTATAAAAGATACTATGAATCTGTCTATGACCTATTTGAAATACCCTCATAAATTCTCCTAAGCAGTCCTGGAGAAGAACTATTTAACAATGTCCCCATAGGACACTGAAAAGATATACTGCTCACTGTTTTCCTTATTTCCAAGTTTTGCATTTTTTTTAAAAACCATCTCTGCCAGCAAAGGCCAACTGCTGGGCCTGGACTTCCACTCTCGCCCACCTGCAATGAGGTGCCCCTAGACACCCCCTGACATAGTATTAGAGAAAACCAAGCAGTTCTGGAGGTAGTTTTAGGTCTTTTATCCCCACCTAAAGGTAAAGAGGCTTGCTCCTACTTCTTTCCTGTTGCAGGGGAAGCTGAATGGGAAGCCAGAACTTTCACAACCATCCAGAGGTAACAAGGCCTCCCCTTCTCCCATGGTGTCAGTATAGACACACATTGCACAGTAATAAGGTACCTCTCATCCTCCCAGACATTTACTGGGATGAGGAAGACTACAAAAGAAACAAGTTTATTAACAAAATATGGGAAGGATAAGAAGAAGAGACATTGACTACAATTTACTTAAAAAGGTTAAATATCTCAGTTTTGGGTTTATAGGATTCTAAATTCTTTAAATATAAGTATAATAATAAAAATCAGAATGAGCAGTCCCAAAGTTTATCCAGCAGAAACAGAATATTTTTCACCACACTTCTCGAGTCTCAAACTACTAATCCTCAAGTTTTCTTACAGATTTACACTTTTCAAAATAGCAGTATTTCACCCATGTTGGTCAACATTTTACGTATCTCAGCAATTATCTGATTCTTCATTCATAACACGTTTATTGAACACTGTTTGAAATTATAGTATATGCTTCATCAAAAGGCCTACATTTTAAATTTTAAGTTCACTGGGCTTACCTGAAGTTCTTTGTATCTATCTTGAAAAGAAATGGCTTCTTGCTCTTTTTCTTTTAGGAAGCCTTTTTCTAAGACACTATGCTTTTCCATTAATGATTCCACATCCTAAAAGAAAAAGCCAAACACAACCTTTGTGATATTTGATGGCATAAAATATACTCAGTTTTTTTAATGAACATGTCAGAAAATATTTTTCAGGGAAAGAACCCATAGTAAGTACGGTTTAAAGTCTAACAATATAAATTGTATGCTTCATTCTAATTTCTAGACCAATAAGAAACATTGATATAACACTAACATCACCCGCTGTAATAAATGAATAAGAGTATCTCAACTAATTACAATCAACATAATCAATCTCTACATATACACTTTCTATAGATTTGTTAAAATCTTTTTTATAGATGTATTTGAAGGAAAGAGAAATGAGAGCATAAATAATTAATTTACTAAATGGCTGTATATCTATGTATTCTTGTCAATTATCACATGGTGCCTGACTTCTCATAGAGAAGTCAATGTTATAAAGCTTCAAATCTGCATAAGAAATATAATACTACCTGCTTTCAATGTAAATAAAAAATAAGTCAGAAAGGAAAGCGTTACAGGAAAAAAAAACCTAGTAAGAGATGTTCATATCTTTAAAAGTGAGACTAGAAATTTCTTATTATAGACTTACCCAAGTGATAAGCTCATATGAATGATTTAAACCTACAGTCAAGGGAAGACAATATCTTCTTCCTCTGATGAGTTTTTAATCAGAGTTTGGGATTATATCAAATTTCCAGTATATGCAATTCAAACATTTATTTATTAGGCAAATGTTAACATACCTTTTTAATTCTCAGTTTTTCCTCTTCAGACAGTTTGAGTTTAATCTCCAGACTTGAAATTTTTTGCTGAAGCTGTATGTTTGATACATTAGCTCCAGGATCCTCAGAATCATCCACAAGAGCAATTGTTCCATTACTTTTCTCATCAGTTAAACCCAATGGAAAAAGTGAGATATCCAGATGAGTGTGTGTTGATTGCTGAATCTAAACCACATTAAAAAAAAAGAAAAAACACATACAAGAGAGGAAAGTTTACACTACACCAATAATGAAAACATCCAAAGGGCACCAGAAACCACATTTGGAAATTAAGTTGTAGCAAAGGTTCTGAAATTATTTCACCCTTTAAGTAAACCAACAGAAGACCTCAAACTGTTACAACAACCTGATCTTTGCAGTAGGAAACAAAATTTACTCTCAACTTTAAAGTCTAAAGCATTTACTATTTTGCTAGCAATGTACTAAAAAACTTACTTTTTCTTATGCTTGAAAGTGTGTGATTAAAAATAGACATATCTGAAACTCACTAGTTCTTAAATTTGCAAACAGGCCTAAAATTTGTTTATATTTTAAATTGTAAATCAGAATTTTAAACTTATCAATGACCTCTAACTGATCATCACTTTCTAGCAAAATTAACAGGTAACTCAAAATTGTGTACAGCACCTTGGAAATCTAGCACAATACCTGGTTCAACAAATATTTGAAAGAATGAACTCTATCTTTTTTGGGTTTTACTCTAAAATTGAAATAAATACTCTAATATCTGAAACCTACGGTCAGATTCACTGAAAGAAGAAATATTATTTTTTGTAATTATTTTTTCTTTTGAAGTTCAAGATTTGAAATGCAAAGCTAAGTCAATTTCAATAAATGAGATACTCAAACCATATTTTGGTAACTATGGCTACTTCAACACTTTGCAATTGTGCCGAAAAACAAATATATCACCCAGTGTTTTGAATTCTAGATAATAGCTGCAAAATTAGAACATTTATTTCAGAAATATTTTTTTTAGAAAAATAAGTTAAAAATAAATCAGAAAAGCATAAATTAGATCAGTATGCAATTTTTTAAGTATGCAAACTCTCTTTAAATATGTGTTTGTCTTTACCTATACTTTAGGAACAGTTTGACTCACAATGCTGCTGTCTGCATGTGTATTCTCTGGTGATGAAATGATAGCATCAGAAGAGAGGCAGCCAGCCAAAGCAGAAGAGTGGTCATGGTCCAGTACAATCTCAGGAGAAGCTGGTGAAAGATGGACTCCAGACACTGATGTAGAACAACAACAACAAAAACAAAGGACAGGATTATTAAATAGAAAATAAAGACAGGGTAGGTCGAAGGGAAGAAAAAGAGTAGAGGGAGAGAAGGAAAAAAGAGTGAGAAAAGAAAAAACAGACTGAAAAATCAGAATTCTACGACTATTCTTCAAGGACCACTACCTGAAATCTAAAACCAGTGTTTCTAAATTTAACATGAAACTTCCATGTGAGATCCAAGCAAGCAAAACAGTTTCATAATGTTTTAGTATATATATACTAACACACTGTCATAAGAAGTACATTTCCAAAACAGAGAAAGTATTCATATATGTTACATACTCATTCCTTTAGGTCAGAAAAATTTATTTAGTTAGAAAAAGACACCAGAGTGCCTACTAGTACCAGGCTCAGGCACTAGGCATTGAAGAGATAGCAGTCAGCAAGACAGATGCACTTATGTACCCAATGACCTTACAACCCAGTAGGCACATCAACCAATTAAACATTTATTACGATAAAATATGGAGGAGGAAAGAACAATTACTTTGAAACAACTAACCCAACCATCTGCATTAAGTTCTTTTGTAACAAAAGATTTTTCATATTAAAATAGTCAATTTTAGTTTGCTGAATTGTTTGTATAGAAAAATAAGGTTGAAATATAATTTGTGATTAGTTTCACAACAAACCATCATTAAATTGTGATTAGGGTTCAAATACAAAGGTCATGAAAGGAAAGCTAATTGCCAGGCATAATGGACAAAAATATAGATGAGGGTAAAATAAACAGGTATGTTTATATTACTTTATTTTTAAACATTCTTTCTAAAAACTCAAATTTTAATTATGTGTTTTAAAATTTAAGAAGAGTAACTGAGTCATTTTTAGCAGTAACCCATTTATACATTCTGAATTTATACATTCTGAATTTCTAAATTATAAAGACCTTTATTCCACATTGGCATCAGTAGCAATGTCAGCGAAGTTCTAGCATAAATTCTGAAAGGCAGCTCACAATGGAAAGTGCATTTTTCCCTGAAGAAAGACATTTATAAGGCCATTAGGTATTAACAAACTAAAGAATATATCAAGTTCTGATTGGTACTCTAAGGGATCATCTAATTATCTAATGTACACTTTTATTACATAGCAATATTGTGTTTTCTAGATACGAGGTGCCATGCTAGATAATTAAGATATTCTAGCTTCACCCACAGCCATTTCAATTTTTTTAATTCAAATACATAAAACTGAAATTTTAACTCATGTTTGGACTTGGTATATCTTTTTCAGAAATTATTCTTTTCTAATCTTCACCATTGTATATGCTGAGAGTTCTCAAAAATGTCAAAATATTCCAACTTCTAATTCAGAATTATAATTTATATGAAAAATATTACTCACGAATTTTTAAAGGTATGAAAATAATTAGTATAGTATAATGAGAAGGAATACAGCCTTGTGATTAAGAGTACATACTCTGGAACCATATTGCCATAGCAGGAATAGAGCAATGGGCAAGTTAACTTCCCTGTGCCTTGGTTTCCTCACCTATAAAACAGGCATAGAATTGCTGATGAGGTTTAAACTGGCTAAAATATGTAGAGCATTTATCACAGTGTTGATATTATTTTCATTATTTTTTAAAGATTATTAAACTTTATTGGACAAGTGTGTTTACTTAAGGACAAATGTGTGGCTATGGCCCTGGATTCAAGAAACTCGTATTTTTCTGATCTAACACCTAAATATTTTAACATCTCTTTAAGCCATTCATATTTATTGCCATAATTTAAGACACATTATCATGTTGTCCCAGGTTAAATTCTCATACTATAACATTAAATGTTCAAGTGTTTCCTATTAGGGAAAGAAGGAGAGAAAGTGAGTAGAAAACAGGAAGGGTGAGAGAGAGAGGAAGAAAAGAAAGAAAAGAGAAAAAAAAGGGGGTGAGGGAGGAAAGTAGAGAAGGGAAACGGAGGTACCCTCAACCTTACACTAGCTACCCGCCACCCTATCATCCTTTCCCCAAATAACCAAATATCTTGAACAATTTATAATCCCTGTCTCCATTTTTTCTTCCTCAACCCAATCCTCATCAGTCCACTGGATCTGTTTTCTAAGATATTATTTGTCCTTTCAGTTACTATTAAATCAAATAAACACCTTGGATCTCATCTTTCTTTAGTTCTCCAAAGTACATGATAAAAATGACCCTCCATTTTTCTGCAACACCATGATCTCCTAGATTTCCTTTTAACATTTTGACTATTTTTTCCTTGTTTCCTTTTCAGACTCTTTCTCCACTACACCTTAAGTTTCACTGTTTCATATACCTTCTCATCTTTTCACTGTCTACAGTACTCTGGGTTACCACTTTCAAAACCCATTATGTAAATTACCACCTATAAGCTAATGAAACCCAAATTCACATCTCTAGCATGAATCACTCTGTAAACCTCCAAATCTGTATACTCACCTTACTATCAAACAGTTCCATTTAGCTGTCCAACAGGCACATCAAACTTACCCATCATCTTATATATACCTGCTTTGGTTCATGTTTTCCATTTTAGTTAATAGTACCTCAATGAACTCTTTGCCCAAGCCAGAAATGACACCACTAAGTGCTAACTTCACTCCAGTCACACTGTGCTAACATTCCCTGATTATGCCATATTGTTCAATACCTCTGTGACCTCACAATACTATTGCCTAAGTAAAAGCCATAGGCATTGGAGTCAGAAATGGATTATAATTTGAACAATAACAACTTATTCATTATGCAGCCTTGGGCGAATTACATAAACACCTGTAAGCCACAGTTTCCTCTTCTGAAAATGGGGAAATATGTACCTCAAAATGATTTATATAGCTTAAATGAGAAAATGTACATAAAACACCTACGTCGGTGACAGGTACATGGTAAACATGCAGTAAATGGAAGTCTTCATTGAAGTTCCTCATTTGGCAACATTCAAAACAAGCCTTTCCAAGAATCTGTTCACCTACCTCATCACCCACCCAGTTACAATATAATTCTATTTCCCTATTGTCTGTTAAGATATTACAGAATTTCTAAGAAAAAATGGCAATAAAATCATTACATATCATAATCCATGGGGTATATTTAAAGCAGTAATTAGAAAAAAAAAAACGATAGCCTTGAACACATCAATCAATAAAAATCAATGAATTAAATTCCCAACTCAAACTAAAAAAGGAACAAAAAGAGTATAAACACAAAAATAAACAAGGTGAACATAGCTAGTAAAACAGAAGAAATTAAAAAGAAAACAGTAAGACTTCTCTACAGAATTCTAACCAAATAAATTTGAAAATTTAGAAAAATGAGTAATTATCTACAGAAATATGATTTACAAAAATTGACCTGATTAGAGCTATTAAATAAAAAAAAAACTCTTGAAAATATACCTATTTTGGGAGGGAGAAAATTAATTTATCAGACAACTACCCCTTCAAATAAAGCATTAAGCTCAGATTATTTCAAGAGGATTTCTATCAAAGATTCAAAGACTAGAAGATAATACCAATACTCTAAAATAGAAAATGGGCCTCCTTTAGCTCAGTTGGTTAGAGCACGGCCTTGTAACACCAAAGTCCAGGGTTTGGTTCCCCATACTGGCCAGCTGCCAAAAAAATAAAATCCATAAATAAAACTGAAAATGAAGAGAGCTGAAAATGAAGAAAAATTACATTAACATTATATAACAGCATAACATTGATTGCTAAAACTCATAAAGAGTAAAACAGAAAAAAATCGAGATTTCTAGATTAAAGTGTCACATAAGTAATGAGATAAAAGTTCTAAATAAAATATCCACAAACATAATATAATACCACATTGAGATAATTGTATGCAATGAACAAGAAGAATTTATTCCAGGAATTTATGGCTGGTTCACTATTAGAGAATTCATTAACGTAATACTCCATAAAATAGACTTCAAAAGAAAAATAATATGATTATCTCCAAGAATCTAAAAATGCCTTTGATAAAACCAAACACTCATTTCTGTTAAAAACTTTCAAGAAAATAAAAACTGATGGATACTTTCTTAACATAAATTAACAAGACCTAAGTCTTAAAGCCAAATCTTAACTAATGGGGAAAAAATTAAAGGCATTTCTTCCAGAATAAGAAATAAAACAAGGTTGCCTATTATCTCCATAGGATTTAACATTGTACCAAAGGTACAAGCCAATGCAATTAAACAAGAGAAATCAAATAGCAATATAAAAATAGAAAAAAGAAGACAACTATCTCATGTTCCTGTCATGGAAACCAATGATAAAATTAATTCGATAAAAGCATTCAGTAAAATACCATATATAAACTTAACAAGCAGAAATCAATAGCAAGCATTCATAGGTAAAAACAATAGCCATTTGAGGATATAATGGTAGAGGAAATACAATTCTTCATTGCAATAAGAAGATAAACTTAAGAATAAATTTAGTAAGAAATGTAAGGAAAACTTTAAAACACTCCTGACAGACACAAAGGTATACCTAAACAAAAGTAAAGATATCCTTTATAATTGGATAGGACACCTAAACATCATAAAGATGCCAGTCCTCCCTTAGTTAATTTATAGGCTCAATACAATCACAATTAAAGCATCAGTAAGATGTTTTACAATGAAGTTAGAGAAATGGAGATTAAGTGTCACATGGAAAAAGTAAATGGGCAAAAAAGAAAACACTAAAAAAAGAAAAGCTATAAGGGAAATACTAGCTCCTCTTATTAAAATGTACCTTAAACTATATTAAAACATACTACTATCCCTATTAAAATATACTGTGTTAAATTATAGTAAAACATACTATAAAACCTCTATAAATAAAACAGTGTATTATTGGTACAGCAATAAACAAACCAGAAGAACATAGAAAAAAATCCAGAAATAGATCCAAGTATGTGTGAAACTTAATTATACGATAAAAGTGGCATTTCAAATCACTGAGGCAAAGATGGGCTTGTTA